GCGGCAAATACGCATTCATATTGTCGTATCGCGACTGCGATATCATTTTTTTTTCATGCGGTGTAGCCATACGCAACCGCAGCAACGCATCGATAATTATCTTGCAAAACCAAATAATTATTTATATAATTTATTAGCTATATACTTGTACTAATTGATACTTGTGAGTCAAAGATTTTGAATTTTTTTTTATAAAAATCGTGCTTATCGCGATATAATCATCTGTTCAATTTCTAGCAAAATTTAAAAAAAATTGCTTTAAGAATGCATAATGTAATTTTCGACCATAATTAAGAGGGATCGTAACATCCTCTTTGCTAACTATGTACATAGTACATATAATATTATGTATTGCTACCATCAATATGTGGATACAATTAATGTACATTAGTATGACTAACTCATTATTTACACTAGACTGGTGCTTCTGCCTCTGTCGCAATTACGAAGCCTTCTTACCTTTTCATAATAAACGTCATTAATCTCTGACACGAACACAGAAGTGCAGACATTCGCTATTTAATCAAGTGTCTTCTAATGCGGTTAAGTCTGTCAAATATATACTATATCTATTCAAACACAAATAGTCAATATGTCATATTGATTTTTACAGTTAATAATCAATATAAAGTAAAATATTCTTATTCGTCAAATGCATAAATATCACTCACCATATACGCATATACACACATATAATACATGTATATTTGAAATATTCCGAATAACATAAAGATTTTTATAATTATATTCATACATATTCTAAATAAATCAAAAACCTTTTAGTTCTTTTACTCTTTAATAAATAGTAGATTTAATGTGTATGTTGATGCGTCATTTTATTTCATGGTTTCATGTTTGATAGCCTCGCGCGTAAATTTATGCGCCTTACATGCCGTGATATATAACGTTAGCAACGGTGTAACTATGCATTCAGTGTGATGTGGAGCCGTTAATCGTCCACTTACTTATACAAGTCTTTGGAATGTCGCTTTCTGCATTGGTTTAAATTTAACTATCAGAATGGACAAACGAGATTGCATCGATTATTCACGATTTATTATGAATGATATATAACGGCGAAATATTTGTATTACACAATTATGCTATTGTTATAATAATGTATGTAAAATAAAAATGTATTTTCTTGTAATAATAAAATAAAGTCATAAACATGTATTAATTAAAAGTTTATAGACATATTCAGGTATAATAATATAATGACGCCATTATTTACGATCTTCTGCTCATTTGCAAGAATTAGAATGTACGATTAATTTGTATGCAAGGAACTGACTCTTTCGATGAATAATATTGCGTAAGCGATTTATAATGATCAGGTTGAGCGAATCACGTATCTCGGACTGACTACTTAACAGATTATTCTTTTTTTCTTTGCTGCTTAATTGTCTCTTCCCGAAATTTAGCTTTAAGGAATAAACGCATTCCTCTTGTTATGCCGTATATAAAACATAATCATAATTTTATCGAAACACCGATAAAAATTATAATTAGAAGTAAAATAAAGAAGAAAGCTCTTTGTCCAATCTGAAATATCTGTATAAATATGTGCATATATTGCTATTAATTTACAATTTTTTTACATTTTCACCAGTATCCAAATGTTTGCATAATTCATGATCATTTTTAATATACTGATAATGAAAGTTTCAATTCCCAAAATATGTTAAAAATTATACAAGACATAAACGATAATTTTAAATCAGAAAGAAATATTTTAAAATTATTTTATGAAAAAGATATGAACGTAAATAGAACAAAATTCTGTAAAAAATTACGCGGTAGTTTTTTCAGACATCTCGTGTAATGGTAAAAACATTATAGAGAGAAAAAATATTACTGAGCTTAACTTTTAGAATTCTATTTCTAATATAAATTTTAATTGTATAAAAAATATTGTATTGCGTGTGTAGATACATAGATTAAAACTTTTCAAGCTCATACGAACAAAAAATGACATTTATATACGAGAGACTGTATCATGAAGCTCATTAGTACATACAGCACGTGCACAATTAAGTTGATACTATTTATCAATTTCATCACTGAATGCGAGATTCAGAGCATATAAGACAGTGATATTATAAAAGTAGCGCTGTGAACCATCGATAATTAAATAAAGTATCTCGCAACGGTTCTGGGCGAATAATTAGTGATCCGGAACCGAGACGATTTATGATAAACGAAGGAAGAGTTTTAATGTGAGCATATCGATTATCCACGGTTATGATTAGCAAAAATACCATACCTTTCTTTTTGATGGACCTTGAACTCCTTATTCGCTTTAGGATAAAACATTCTATAGCGCGTATTTTATTTTTTTTTTATCAATTAATCTCATTCTTTTCTCGCAAGCTTAAGGCGTGAAAATTCGTACTATGATATTAAAGGGAATTAATAAATATCGAGATTGATATTCTTTCGCAAAAATTCTCCAAAGTGTATATTTTTACTTTGTTGGAATATTTTTTTAGTAGATTAATTTATTACCAAAGTCGTAAAGAGCAGGGATACATAAAATAAATCAAGAGCATTCCATCATTATTCATCTGTATATCATTATTCATCTGTACTCGTCGTTTATTCTGTACAATATTGCTATTGCATTTGCCGAATCAAGATCGTCGTTTATTTGTGAGCAACATTACTATTTCAAACACGATTCCTGGTATAAGAAAAGGCATAGATAAGTGTCAGCCACGTATTACCGTATCACGATTTACGCGCACATACACACAATTCCTTTGTACAACAGCAGACGGGAGAAACTTTCTGTAAGGTATATTACTTCAATAGAACGCGGAATTATAAACGCCGTATACACAAGATTTGCAAGCCGCACAAAACATATTTTAAACACACCGTCGCGATACCAAACAGGTTTTCAGGTGATCTTCAAGATATACGGACAGGTAATATCTTCCAGAGATGAAATCAGAAATTTTTCTTTCAAAGCGAGAAAACCACAATCTTTTTCGTCATTCTCACTAATATCTTTTCAAATATCTTCATGTGTTGCGGAGAAGATATTTATCATGATGCAATTTATATCGAGACACTACTACTTACCGTCAAAATACAATCACAGATGATTCTCGAGTTTATTCCGAAGAGCAAAATAAGAGTACATTATACGTCTATTATTCTCTCACAGAACTTTAATCATATTTAAGTTGGCATGACTTTTGAGAAAACAAACAAACACGCGTAATTTCACAGTTAAAATAATAGTAGTAGTCGCAAGCGTTTTAGAAATATCAAGCAGATTAAATTTATCGTAACGTTCCTTCTGAAATCATCTGCTTCGAATTCAAATAGTGTAGTAACGTAAATTAAAAAAAAAAAATTTAATAAATTGTCTTGATATGAAATCTTCAATCTGTGATAAGAAGTATGATCTCATGATAGACAACTGTGTAATCTCTTGAATAGCACAAGATCTTCGAAATGTGTGCATTTGATGTAAATCTAATATCTCTAAATATATTCGAGATCTTTAAATTGTTGAACCTATTCTCATTAATTAAGTTCGTACCAATTTTTGAGCGCATAAATTTGCATTATATTATAAAATGCATAATTAATATCTGTGCTTGAATGTAATTACAAATATTCTCTTGTTATTACTCGATCAAAATCAAAATGTGATAATTTCATTACTGGAATATGCAACACTATCAAAAAATAATCAAAGTTAATTAAGAACTTTTAAAATAGATAAACGCGATAATTTTTTTTTATATAAATTGTCTCGATATGAAATCTTCAATTCGTGATGAGAAGTATGGGACAGATAATTGTGTGATCTCTTTAATAGCCACGAGATTTTCGAAATGTTCACTTAATAACTAATATCCGCAAATATTCGAAATCTTCAAGTTGTTGCTGAACTTGTTCTCATTCAGTACTTACCAATTTTTTGACCATATAAATTTGCATATAATTAATACTAGTACGTGAATGTAATCACAAGTATTTTATTATTATTTGATCAAAATCAAAATTTAATAATAATTCCATTATCGTAATATGCAGTTCTATCGAAAAATAATCAAAGCCAATTAATAACTAAAAATAGATAAACGCGATAATAAATTTTTTTATAAATTGTCTCGATATGAAATCTTTAATCCGTGATAAGAAGTACGAAACAGGTAAATTTTTTTTAATAAATTGTCTCGATATGAAATCTTCAATTTGTGATGAGAAGTATGAGACAGATAACTGTGTGATCTCTTGAATAGTCACCAGATTTTCGAAATGTTTATTTAAGTAACTAATATCCGCAAATATCGAGGTCTTCAAGTTGTTGCTGAACTTGTTCTCATTAAGTTCGTATCAATTTATTTTACCGTGTACAATTTATATTATAAAATGCAAATACTTGTACTTGAATATAATCACAAGTATTCTATTATTATTTGAAATCAAAATGTAATAATTCCATTACCGTAATATGTAATTCTATCAAAAAATTATCAAAAGTCAGTTAAGAATTAAATTCTTCAAATTTAGTAATTATATGATTCAAGTTGGAAAATATATAAATGGAAATAGATAATATATTAAATGTACAATTAGAAACAACAAAATTACGAAGTGCGGAATAATTTTCAAATGACGAATTATTGAAGCTATGAAAAAAAAATTATTTAATTACTATCATATTCACTATATAAATATATGTAATACATCTAGTTCATTTGAATTTTACTATGTTTTAATTTTCTGTTTTAATATTTTTTCATCTATTTCTTGTATTCTTTAAAAAAAGTTAAAATCATGTATTATGTTTTGTTTTTAAATCTAATATTGATTCGAAAATTAAAGTTAAAAGTTCTTAAATTTATAATTGATTATGTATAGCTAAAGTATATGTATATTAAAACTCTTTCTCGAAAACACACACTTGTGAGATATTTCTTTTGTTAAAGATTTACCTCAAGAGAGACAGAAATATTTAAAATTTAAAATATACTTACTAAGTTTAGATATGTAGAGTTTAGCGTCATATAACGTGATTTTTCCACAAATATGTTTGGAGTTGATGGCAATAATTTCGTTCATTAAAGATTTAATGAGGTCAATATCGTATCTCAGGCAACACTCCAGCGAATAATGCAGCAATTCCTCGAAATCTGAAATTTGTCGATTGAAAATTATTATCGAAATAAATAAAAACTAGATGTAAATTGTGAATATTGTGATCAATCAGCGAAACATAAACGGATATTTAAAAGTATTTAGAAATCGTTATGGTCTAAGGTCAAAAATAAATAAGTATTAAAATAGGTATACATTGGCAATCTTCATAATTCGAAATATGTTTGTTAAGCTTTTGTCGTGTTAAACATTTCGTCGCAAACGGTCAGTAATCTTATTTACAAATAGAATTACCTGCAATATATTACTTCTTTACTCGACAAGCTTTTGCTTTTGCTTATTAGCAAGAATTAATTGAACACTTTCTACACGTTTGTGATTCATAGTGAGATTTTTCTTTTACAAATTCGCTGAAATTCGCAGAAATTAAAAAGAATCTTTCTGAGAAATTATTTTTTTCAGAAACTTTGTAGACATTTTAAAAGGTATCTATAAACCTCTTATGTAATATTCCAACAATATCCAAAATATCAAGTACCCAAATAATACCCAAAATATTCGAATATTAACACTATCAGAGAAGAGAATATCGTGATACCTTTTCTCGACCACAGAATATCATGGACATCATTTTCGGGTCGTTATACATTTACATTATATTATAATTAGAATTACGCCAATAACCAATGATCATGTCTAGTCGGCTATGGCTCCGCCTCTACCTTAAGGACTTCTCTGAATCGTTTTTAAAATAAGGAAATGGCCCCCCTCTCACCTCCCCTGCTTTCACCCTTCCACGTTTGCACACCATCTCTACCCCACTCCGATAGCTCCCTTCCTCTCTTTCTAACTCTTGTTTGCCGAATCCGACCTGCGCGGCAACCCGACAGAATAGACAACAGCATGATGCAGGTGCCGCGCCGCCGGGACGCCTGGTGTTGGATCCCTCCTTTGACGCGCGCAGGTGAACCCGGCCAACCACGTGCTGTTGTGCGCGCGTGTGCGCGGCAACACGTGTCGCGAGAGCGAGAGAGAAAGAATAGAGAACGATGGGAGTCATGGGTGGGGCCGGAATGAATAAGGGTTTCGGAGAAGAGGAGATGAGTTTGGAGCCCTTATGATCAATATAAAGAAGTGTAGGTATGCCCTTCTAATAACACCGATGTGTAAATCGTAGTAGTATATATGTATGCTGGTATTTTTTCAAAGATCATTGTTCGATCCAACATTAATATTACCAAACGATGTCACTTTACGCAGAATGTGTTACGATGCGCAAACGTCATAAAGTGAATATAAGCAGCTTGATCCGTTAATTAACCCTTGACTTTCTAGCGGACGCTCAAGTGACACGTATATAATTATTCAGTTCTCTTTATTTAATATCTCGTTCTATCAGTGTAAAATCCGTACAATGTATTAACATTGCAATTTTATTTTTGATGAAGAGATGAGAAAAAAATATATGTATATAAAAATAATGCAAACATGACTCGTTTCGCATCATAATCCACGTATTTTTTCATTCCAAAGATTAATGGCATTGTTACATTGCATAATCATAGTTAAACAACTTATACATTTTGTTATATGAACATAATTCTCATTTACATATCAACCATATATCAGTCATATGTCGGAAGAAGAATGCAATGTCATAAATCTAAAATCTGACTCTGTTGCTATGCAATTCTCAGTAATCGACGTGATTGCGCTCGTATTATCAACGCCGGGATCGATTACATAATACGAAGGGGAATATATACAAATGCGATATCGTTTCTATGAACGGCGCGATACGGAGATGCGAAAGAATGAATGACTGTTGGCGTATCTCGTCACGTTTATATTCATTTTTTATCCGGACGTTAAACGAATTCCTTCGCGAGAAGAGAAGCAGAGGAGAACATTGGACCGATGAAATCAGTCTGATAATATTTGGACGTGTCTCTAATGTTCGCGACGCGAGAGAACGGGATGATTACGTAGCGCGAAGATGATGATTGTTATGAATGATTGCACGTACTCTCTAGTTGACCCGTCTCATTCAAATAAACATGACGTTCTATGTCTATGTTTGAAATATTAGCAGCTATAGATAACTTTATATTGCAGTCAATGTTTTAAGGCACAACACTGTTAATTTTCTCTTGCTCTATTTTACTTCTTATTAATATTAATTTCTTATTAATATATGTTTTCGTATATTTTTCCTGTATTTCTTACTATTTCAATTATATAAAATATAAAATATAGAGTTATATAATATGCAGCGTTAAAACCTCATTTATATAGTTTTAAAATAATAAATAAAATAATTATAAATATAAAAAACATTTATCTTTTTTAATTTATTTGCATATATGTATAATTCTATAATTATCTCTCCAAATATTTTCATATTTCCAAAAAATTGTATATCAAATTATTTTATTATCTTCATATTTTTATTAATTAATTAAACTCGAATAATATTAACTGTTCACAAGCTATATATAGAGCCTGTTAACTTCATAATAATTAAATAATATATATAAATGTTTCATAGAGAATATGTAATAGCTTGTGCTTCATAACATATGATAAGCTGGTCATGTGTAATAAAATAGATTTTCGTTAAAGATAAAATTTATATCAATTCTTATACCTACATCAATTATATATAACGATTAAATGTGTACACACACATGTGAAACCGTAGAAGCTAAGAAATGTGATCAGTAGTGTCTGATAATTTTGCGATAAGATACGAGACAGCAATTGTATTTGCACAAAGTGCATATGCGATATTAATGAAGATTCTTGCAGTCCATCATTTCTATTAAAATATATAATAGATTAAACATTAATTTATCTGTTATATGATATAAAATGTTTAATAAATGTTTATCATAAAATGTTAATTAGAACAGTTTTAAAGTAATAATTTAGCATAAACCAAAAAATATTTTAGAATAAAACACTGTCGTATAAATACGATTTAAAATATTTACCACGTCTATAATATCTTCTCGATATCATATCACACCTATTGTATCGGACTTGTCTCGCAACTACTATTAGATCATAAAAATGTAATAATTAGCAGACATCTATCTGCCTAGTCAACAAAGATAATTATACAATTTTTATGATGGTAGACTCTTTGATCGCACGAGAACGCTCGTTAAGCTTTGGTGCCGCATCAGTTTCGACTAACGAAGGTAGGTCGCCACCGACTTTGTTAGATCCTCGTAAAACGTGTTCCTTAACCCGTACCACGAAAAATTTCTCGGGGTCGAAGTGCACATCGTAAAAAAACTAACTATGAGAAACGCGCCGCTCGTAAACAGTTTCCAAGACCGCGGGATCAGCATGAAAGTTAATCTAAGAAATCTGATAGTTCGATACTACGTGATCGACTAGCAAAATCATTACTGCTTCTTGCTTTCGAATGTAAATCATACGCCCAAGTCATAAAGATCTTTAAAAAAGATTTTGAAAACAAAAATTTTTTATTTTTTCGTGATTTATACAATTTTACTATAAATTCTATCTCCGAATTGCATGACTCAATAGAAAATATAATATGCATAAAGTTTGGTGAAAAACTTAAAAAAAAAAGAAAAAAAGGAAGACAATTGTCACTTCTCAACTTACTTGTTTTACATCATATTATCGAAATATTGCGTTTAAAGCTTGTAACATATTCTAATTATAACAAATTAATTCGTTGCATAATGAAGGTCTTCAGGTAGCAGATATAGAGCAGTAACAATCGTTTTTAGTACTTCAACACATCAACCGAGAGGATTCGCGTATTTCAAGCTTGTCGTGAACAAGGAGCTCGAATTGCATAGTCAAACGTACCTCCCTTGGTTGCAGACCGCGATTCAGCACCGCGTTGGACACGACATTGCACAACATATTGAGGGTTGTGGGTATGGAGATGAGAGCTTTGTATCAATGATACCGTTGTGCCGCTGTGCGTAATCGAAACCAAGCGTTGTCGTCATGATACGACTGAGGGGCCCGTTTTGAAACGACGAGAAACACGCGAGATATGTCGAGAACCGTGGTTCCTTTTTTGTAACATATAGATATATGATCGTAAAGTCTGTTACTATAAAACATCCCGTTAATAATGTAAATATTAAAAATATCTGTTCATACGATTGACTTAATGTAGAAATATAAAAAATTAATATCTATGACTCTAAAAATATAAATAATGATTATAGAGAGTAATGTATATATAAGAAATTGATATTATTTATTACATATATTACACTTAAAAATTCATCATTAGTGATTTGTCAAGATATAAAATAAAAAATATATAAATGTGCGTAAGATTTAGAACAATCTAGCATGATATTAACATCCAAATCGATACTGTATAGAAGAGCCAAAAGTGAATGATACATTATAATATTTTTATATCATAATACAATATGCGATGGTATATTTGTTAAATACCATCAATTTTATCCAAAGCGTTAGACCAATTCAACATCGTGCGGTAAAATAAAAATTAAATGCAAAACAAGAGTAGTTATAGATTTCCGATAATCTTACTTCCTGGTTTAGAAGAATGCGCGCATATCACAAACCCCGTTTATTTCAATAAAAATAATATAACCGAGAGAAGTCTTTCTTTCTCTTTTTCTCTCTGCAACATATAATTTCTCTGTCGCCTATAAAAATAGTCAACGCGGAATCGCAATAAGTTTCAGCGGAAAGAGTCGAATGAAGGAACGATCGTGAACGCGGCGGCTTTTACGAGACACGATATTTCGGAAGCAGTAAAATTTCTACCCTGTCAAATGTTCGCATAAAATCCCTGCTCGTCAGCCACTGTGGCGCAAACAGAAGAAACGTAAGCAGCTTCACTCTCGATTCGCGAAAAAAGGAGGAAAAAATATAATTATTTAGTATGTCGACCGCTTAGCGACATGGGTGGCCGATAGTACGATGTCGTTTAATATCATTCATATGCTTGTGATATAACGTCGCGACTATAAAAAATTAGCTTTTATATTATAATAAACAAATT